TAGCGGGACAAACTTTACTTTTACTTTTTTACCCAATAAACATTGGGTTAACTGATAAAGTGGAATGTAACGGTCACTTCCAAGCTTATGCCAGGAACTGCATGATTAACTGCCATATGCTGTCAACTGTCGCTAAATTTACCTACGTAATAGTGCAACTGTCTAACATCTTGTCAAGTACTGGTGTGTGTGTGGTTCAATATACTGAAACCCGCATGTTTTCTGTATGAGATGGGAAATGTGGTTTCACTAGGAAGTGCTGGAGGAAAACACTGTAAACTCCCCAGGATTACAGTTCTAAGCTCTCCGAATAACATCGTAAGCTTTCTGGGGGAATAAATTTGTTTCCTCTTCTGTCTTCCAAGCTCTCTGCTTAAGTTCAATGAGTTTGCAGGCCAGTTTGTTAGAGTTTTCTCAGTTTATAAGAAACTGCAAGGACATTTCACCATGCGGATTCTCAAATGAACTCAGATTTGTAGGCAATGTTTCTGTGAGCAGGACGTTTGTCTTTGAAACCTCAAAAGTCCTTTCTGTCACAGATAGAAAAGATATAAATCTAATATTTCCATGCCACAGAAGCTTCTTTTATACAACATTGACAAAATCACAAAAAATTTCCAACTGTGTAACATGCATGTCTATATGTGGAAGTATTATGTCCTTACCACAAGAAGTTCAATATTAATGGACAGGACATCAAGTACTATTAGTAGACCACTGTGTATGACATAACCTAACATAACCCACACCCACAGTTTCTCTGTGAAACGTTTCTAATTAACTGTACACACTTTTCATATATCCTTTTTTTAATCTTCCAAAGTTTGTTTTGTAGTTATCGACAACACTAAGTTACCGCTACTTAGTGTTCTGATATTTCACCAGGAAATGACTGAAAGTCTAAAGGACTACTTTCATCCCTAGCAGGGGCAAGAAATAATGTGCTATTAGTGGACTGTTTTTAATGTTCTTGTTAGAGGCATCTGTATATACATTGTTATGAAACTTGTCCTCCATAAGTTTCTCAATTGACAGTGGTCATAGAACGTTTTAAATCACTGCTTCAGGGTCAAAATCTTTGTTGTATAACTGAAATCAGTTTTGAACTGCAGGCTTCATTGTAAAACTCAAATCGTGTGTCTGTGTGGTATGCAAACATAGCTCGTTTAGCTACAATAATAAGTTCCTTTCCCGAGGATCACAGTTACAACAGTGTGAACTGTGGTCCATATATATAAAACCATCTTATTAAAATTTAATATAATGAGAGGAAGTGGGAGAAAACTAAAATCTAGCTGGGATGCTGGACCAAAGTCTCCAAACTAGAACTATCTTGGTCAAACCAGGACATACAGCAACACTGTATGGTTGTACAGATGCTTTTCATTGAAGTCTTGAACCATGAGCATATTAATTTTCTGAAAATTATGCACATAACTACGTGGCACAATGTTGATATTGAAAGGCCAATAGTTGTTTCTAATTAAACTGCAATATAGTACATTTAAAGACACTAATTGTATCATGCACTGTAACTATATTTGAATATCAATTTGATTTCTGCATTGTATACATAAGTTCATGTAATCAACATGCAATCGGTTATGATCTCCTCAAAAATACCCCATTCAGACATTTTAGTTGTGATAATTTTTTTGAATATTTAAAATTGTTGATGAATCTTTCATAACAGTTTTTCATCATTTTAGCAGTCTACCTAAATATATTATTTTTTTGGAGTTGTTATTTTACAAATTGTAGGAATTGAAGTTTTAACGACGGTGAGTCTGAAGATTGCTATGTTGTGGGTTGTTGCGCCCTGATGATGGAGGCAGCAAAGACCTCTGAAACGTCGGTAAACATCTACCAGACTGTACGGCGCAACAACCTAGAAGACAGCAATCTACATTTTACAAATTCTTTGTGGGAACAGCTTGAAAATATTTACCGTTAACGTATAAAATAAAGTGCTATTGAAACTACCATTTTTTTAATCCCGTAATACCTACACTTTAGTATTAAGTAACATGTAATTCCATTTTTGAAATGGGCACGGCACGGCCAGACATTTCTAACATAGTTCGTCATGTTCATGTTAACAGTATGCTCCTGCTAGTAAATTTTGCACTGAAATCTAAATTCCGGTATATATATTTTTGTGGAAGAAATGGTTAAAATTAACCCCATAATAATGTATTTATTTAATCCAAACGTGGTTACAAGTATGTTGATTTCTAAATTGGATTAAGCAGTAGTATTCCTACGCACAATTTTGATGCTTGTTTATTTTAAAAGCTTGGCATGATGGGATTTAAACATCTGACGCCATCTTGGTTAGGCGGTTGTTGTACAATATAAAGACGTTTGTGCTAAGTAGTGGGTTAAAGTTCAGTTTCATACTTGATGGATATTATTTTACGTAAGTTGAGTTACTTGGACTTCTGTTGTATGGTTTAGTTGGTACGAATTTGGTAAATAATGTCGTAACCTAAACACAGGCTGCTCCAAGTTGTGTCTTCCCCCCCTGGCACTTCAACATTTATTTCGTGCTTTAATCTTATTAATAAACACGTGCACGTAAGAGCTGCTGGCTTCCTGAATTGAATTATTGTAATAGGATTACATCCAAACGACGTGAGCACTGTCAGGAATATAAGTTGACATTATTGAGCTGAAAACTACATACCAATAAAGGGTTGTGTAGCAGACGTATTGCGTCGTCTGTACCACACCCAAGTGGTGGCGAGGGAGGCAGGCAGTCAGGCGAAGTGGAGCCCTACACGGAGACGAAAAATTGTGTGTGCGTGAATGTGTGTGTGTATTACAGAAGGGAAACCGAGTGCAAATTAATGTTTATTCCTTTTTAGGAGTGATACACACGTAAGGAGCCGTGAGGGTTTTGAATCCCTTTCAAAACGGCACGGAAAACGGCTCGATACAGATAATATTGGCTGTGCAACCCTCCGAAGTAAAACATGGCGTGCTGCCTGTCGGAAGAGGCGAAGGAGCAAAAGAGAATAAATCAAGAAATTGAAAGACAACTTCGGAGGGATAAACGTGATGCTAGGCGTGAACTTAAGCTACTATTATTGGGTGAGTTTTGAAGAAAGTGTAGAAGGAATTAGTGTTAACAGTACCTACTGACAGACACCAGTGGTATTTGGGTTAGGCCTACAACTGGAGAGTCAAAGTCCATTGTCTTCCATATTACTATTTACGAAAATTCTTAATTATGTCTACTGCAATGTTATGCATATTACTTGTATAACATATGTGCAGGAAGCTCTCATGGCAATACATTGAGAACATTTGTATGAAATTGGCTCTTATGGAGTTTGACAGGTTCAGCCACTGGCGTTAGTGTAAATGAAATTTGTTTGTGTCATATTTTGTTAGTTTTGTTAAGGAACATTTTAATGCTACATTCTTGTTGCAAACATAATTATCATAAGCAAATTTCGTTTATCTTTTAGTCTATATCATAGTGTTTGTGTTACCTATCTAAAATTTTATTAATTTATGAAATACTTTAGTTGAAAGTGCCCCATAAGTTTGAAAATGTGCCAAGTTTGGTAGTTTCCAAGCCAGTTTCAAAACATCTTTCGTAGTAGGATATAAGTAATGATTAACAGAATGCACAATGTTCAGCCTTAAATTTACAGTGCTTTTTAGCTGAATGTTACAGATTATGAATCCCATCTCAGGAACAGCTGCAGAATGTGGCATTAATTTTTGTCCAGACATTATTGATATTATTTAAGGAATGTAACATAATGTGCATGTGACAACACAAATACCATCAAGTAAGGTAACTGTGAACACAATTTACTCGGTATCCCTTTACAATACAGTGATCAGTTACATGTAAGTCAGCTATTCATGTATTTTGAAATAGATACTTTGTGTGATGATTGACATCAGCTGTCCCATTGAAGTTGAATAGTTCAACAAATATGAATTTGGCAATAGCTACATTTGATTTCTTTGGTGTAACTTAATTCTTGTTGTACGGAACAGAATAGAATTCATTTACATTTCATAGATCCTTTATAGGCCTAAGCCAAGGATGTAGAACGTATCATATCACAAATACGATACTAATCTCCATTGCTTACATGTTTTTATAATAGTTGATAATTTTTGATTGAGGTAAATTATTGTATGCAATACTCTTTCACTGCTGGCTTAAACTTCTTTGTATTATAATTCAGACTTATTACAGTGGGAGGAAGATTATTGAGTAGTTTAATTCAGGTATGGTAGACTCCTTTTTGATATTAAATGAGTTGATTGTTTGGCACATGAAGGTTATATCTGCAGCTTGTACTTAATATTGCTTATATCTGGGTTTGAAATTTAAGTCATGCACTACAAATGATAATAATGAGAGCAAGAATTTGCTGGCTAGTGGAAGAATATTAAACTTATTAATAAATTTCCCACTCAAGACTCTCCTTTTAGTGCCTTCCATTATTCTAATCATTTTCTTCTGAATATAAAATTAAATTTGCTGCCTTTTGAGTTTTCCTAGAAAATAATTGTGTGTGACATGATTGAACGGAAGTAAGTGATGTAGACTAATTTTAAATTTTCTGTTTTCATGAGTGATGTGACAGTCATAGCAAAACTTGCTGGGCTTAGTTTAGGGATAATGTATTGAATCTGTGTTTTCCAATTTAAGTTCCTGTCAATTTGTAGGCCAAGAAATTCAGTTTCTTCTTCTTCAATTGTTTTGTCATCGTAACCTATACTTAGATTAACACATTTTTTGTTGCAATTGGTCAATTTAATGAAATTTGATGAAAGATTCTCGGGTTACAAGCTGCGTCAGGTGGCTGTGTGGTATCTTCTGCCAAAGGACCAGATTTGTTACGACGTAGCCCTGAGGATGAGCAGAGATTGCTCTTGAAACGTTGGCAGAAGATATGGTTTATTCACCATTCAGCCACCAGACGCGGCTTGTAACCCTAATCTTTCATCAACCTCAGTCGTACGAAAGCTTCATGTTAATGAAATTTGTTTTGTCAAAATTTAATGTATATTTATTGACTTTAATCCATTTGTTCAAGTTAGCAAAGACTTCATTAATGGGAATTTGGAAACAGGCTATTTCTGGATGTGAAATAATGTAATATTGCTCATCAGATTTTCTACACTCTTCAGAAAAAATGGGAGTACAATGGGAAAATTCATCAACTATTGGTAGAGTTCAAGAATTGCTGTGACTCATTTAAAACATTTTCTTGAATTTGGTATACCTAAGAAGCTAGTCAGGCTAATTAATTAGCAACATTTTTAGGATTGCTGTCTTCTGGGTTGTGCTGTGTCGTCTAGTAAAAGTTTATCAACATTTCAGAAGTTGGTAAACTTCTACCAGACTACACAGCGCAACAACCCAGAAGACAGCCATCTTCAGACTCACCGCCATGAAAACGTCAAATCCCACAGATTGAAATATTTTCTGTATTTGATTGCTACTAGATTGATGATTTGTATATAGATATCATGTTTGCAAGATGTCTTGGTGCCTTTAGTAGTCAACACATTATTTTCATTGCTTGGTGGGGAAACTTGCTTAAAAAAGTTTTAAGAATATATTTAGGAATGTGTTGAATTTTGAATTTACATCATGGCTGTTTAATACTGCCTTCATTTATAAGTCTTTATATTGTTTTCTGTAATTATGTTGATTGGAAATTGATTCTTTATTTTTTATAACTAGAAGTTGTGCATCATGATCAGATAGTCCATTTAGCAGTAGTTAAATAGAAATATATTCTTTTCTGGAACTGTCTATAAAAACACTGCCAGTGGCAGTACTGGAGTATTTTTGAATTCTTGTGGGTAAAATAACTATTGACATGAATGAAAGATGCTAGTTGGAAGTTTAGACATTTAAGATAATATTAATGTTACCTCAAGTACAAATTCTGCTGTAGGTTTACAAAGATAATTTATAATGTAAGACTTGAGGTTCTCACAGCGGTGAGTATGAAGATATCCGTCTTCTGGGTTATTGCGCTGTGTAGTCTGGTCGATGTTAACCAACGTTTCAGAGGTCATACTGCCTCCATCATCAGGGCGATGAGT